TTCGGACCCGGGTCTCGGCCGTTTACGGGTAGATATTGGACATCATGGGACTTTGATGCGCGTAATTTGTTTTTCTGATTGAATTCAAAATGGCCGATTGGCGGTCGTTTTGTTTTAATGAATGCGGTTTTTGTGCCATGTTTCTGACATGCTTTGACTGATAGTGTTCAAATGTTACATATTATACATCATTTAAAAGAGATACAGATGTATTGGTTTGACGATCCGATTCAAAATGACCGAATGGTGGCCATTTTTGTACTAAAAAATCATCAAATTATTTTTGGCATTCTGGAACCGGATCTCGGTCATTTGTGGACAGAAAATAGACATTATTGGTCTTTGATGCACGTCATTATGTTTTCAGATCGAATTTATGATGGCTGACTGGTGGAATTTTTGTTTTAATGAATGCAGTTCTAGAGCCATGTCTCTGACATGCTTTGAATGATTATGTTTAAATTGTATATACCCATTATATATCATAGATATATAGATGTACTCAAAGTGGCCCCAAATAACCATTTTGTTGTGATTAATGCCAGAGCAATATCTATCAATACGGAAAAATTCTCATTTAGTGATCAGATACAAAATGACTGAATGTCAATCATTTTAATGTTGAAATATCGTCATAATCAAGCGTCAGCTTCTGAATCCATATCCCTGTAGTATAACAAATATATATATATATTAAATTTGATAAATAACGGGGACTATGCCATCATGCATAGCTAATTGAATACAATTTTGTGCAATATAGAACTCACTATACACAGCGTTTGCATCATGTTCCTCTTCTTCCACTAAGTATATTCCTTGATCAAATATGGGACTGTTGTCGTTAAGATCCACAACAGAGACAGAGACGGAACAGGTTCCAGCCAATCCCGACGGGTCTGTTGCTATCAAGTCGAACAAATATGTCTGGGTATCCGTTTCAAAATCCAGGTCTGAGGTGGCAGATATAGTGCCGGTACTACTATCTACAGTGAATACACTTGATGCACCACCTGTTAAACATATAAGAAAAGTATTCGTTAAAAATATGTTAGTATCTTACTAGTTCATAACGAAGTCAACGACAACAAAAATACATATATACAACGTACGCTATATAGATTCATAATAGTTTGTATGGATGGTAACATTGACACTTACAGCAATTCTATGTCATGTATTTGTATTTTTGTTTTTGTTTTAATTCAGAAGATTATTTCATTGAAACGCAGCGAACATTAACAAGAAAAACGTAAGGGTATACCTAGTGAGTACGTTAACGAGTATAGATCATTCCCATCCGGGTCATTTACTTCAACACTAGGAGGAAACGCAGTCCAGAAAATGGTAGATTGTTCTTCGTTCATCAAGGCATTATAAGTAGGTGGTGTCCCAGTGGGTTCGTAGTAAGTTGTACCAAACCAAGGGGCTGTATCAGGCTGATCTCTGATTTGTATTGTCAGATACCCTATAGAGGAATCGGCTCCATCCGTGATTCTGCAAAACACAACAATTTATTAGACTGTGTTTCACATACATACGTATGATTAAAGCGCGGTTGTCGTCACGCTGCGCATGTGCCACATTTGTGTTGATAAACATTGATTTTCCCACAATCCAATGCGCTCTTCAAATGGAAATCACAGGTATGAGGTTTGACCTGGGCGCGACTTGCACTGATTCCGCCAGTGACTCCTTCATACCTTCCAATAACATGATAATTACTTAATTAAAGCTTGGAAACGTCTGAGTTCGTACTCGTTGGTCTGCGCAACAGTCAAAGTCGCCATCTTTATCTATATGAGACCCATATATCTCGCACATGCGCAGCGCGACGACTACCGCGCTTTAACGTTGTAAATATTTAAAACTAAAACCTGAATGTACTATAAAGACAAGTTGTAGTCTGTGCCTATCTTGTAGTGAATACATGTCCTTACGTGAAATCGAGCCGATAACTTTGTAGAAATACTTGTCCAGGTATTTCATCATAATTTACCACAGTCCCTGCTGTTACAACCAATGTTGAATCATCGAAATCAAAATGAACCGATGGGTTATCGTTCACAACAGTTGCACCTGTAGTATCCACTTCCAGACTGTACAGTATTTCGTTCGCAGGCGTTCCTTCGTTCATAATAATTGTTTTTGGTAAATTGGTGATATGTGGGACACATAGACCTGTATGAAGTAAATACATATATACGTTATAGTGACAATATGGCTGCGTGTTAATTAGAAATATACTAATACATACTTTGTTTATTGAAATTAAAACGTACTTACAATAGGGTATCACCAATATCAATACGAGTAGCTGAAATCCCGTCATTTTGATCCTTTGTAACTCCATCATAACATATTGAGTCTATGATCCTGTGAAAAGAAATGAATGTGTTGAATTTGATGAATTGTTATAGTTTATATGAGGGGGTTATTGAATCGAGAGAATATAATTGCGTTCTTGTATTTTGAATCGGGCTCGTTCGGTTAACGGTTTGTTTGGGTTGCATTATTTGTTAGTTAATGTCCCGTTTCAATCGCTGAATAGTTTCAGTTGGTCGTGTCTTAAAAAAAATAGTTTGTGTATCATTCATTTGCATACAATTACGTAATTTATTATTCAGGGTGAATTTGAATTAAACTGGGAACGCGTGCTGCAACACCATATTATTGGTGTTTTCAAACGGGTACTCACGTCCACGCACGTGCGGTGTTTAGAGTATTTAGAAAAATCGCAATAAAATATAAGAATATATACTAGTATTCTTTTAAAATGATAAGATAAGCGCAAAAAATGCTTATTTTTCTATCTCCATTTTTTCGTAATTTCTTGAATCCGCCGGCGATTTTCCAGGTGAATTTGTAGAACGATATCATACATAACGTTCAAAATTCCGGGGAACCATCTTGCAAATAATTTTTGATTTTAATTTTGTTTACTTGGAAAGGGTTATTTTTCCAAATGTCACGCATTTAGATGAGTTTTTTAAAAATTCTCTCATTTGAGTCCCCGTCATTTTACGTTTACGTCCTTCAAATGTACACATATGTTGTAGAATACTCCATACCATTAATTCTTTTGTATGACAAACAAAACATTGTTTAATTAAAAAAATATATATAATTTTCATAAACTTCAATTTTAGTGCAAACAGAAAATATATAATTTGTAGATGGTAAAATGTGGTCTTCAATGAGAATATTTAACATGCTGGCATGTATAAACGAACATGGGTCTCATTCTGAAATCGTCCTATGTCATTCCTTTCAGAATAATGGTGTTAGAGGGCGCTTGTGCTCGACACGAGTGCTATTTAGCGGTATGTGTGTAGAAAGCACCACATGTATTGCGTATGTCAAACTATTTACATTCAATTGAATAAACTAACTCAAATGAAACAGCTGTTACTAGTTACTTTAAAAAGCTAACTGATATACAATGCGAATAAAAACAATCGCCGCATAATTTAACGTGAAGTGAACAATAAGGTAGGAATACTTGATACAGTACTAAATGAAATTTGATATACTGTCACTTCCAGTTTTCTTTACTCAATACAATGTGTGAGCTAATTTGGCTTTGGCAAAGCGGAAGTGAGTGCCATGTATCTTAATGTTCACTTATATTGTATTGTGTTCATTGTGTTGTGAAGGAAAAGTATAACTGCAATGCAATAACTTAAAACCTTATACAAATGCACAAGATTTTACACTACAAGCAACACAACACAAAATAAAACAATCACCACATCCGTCCAAAGCTAAAAAACATTCTAAAACACAATACAATCCTAAAGTCATAGTAATTATTATTAGATTATCATTTAACAGTTCATAACAACAGCAAAGTGAATTATTTGAATATTTCAAGCGAACTGAAACACGGGGTATTAATACAAGCTAAGTAATAATAGTAATCGTTTATTCATAAATCCGATCAGTTCTGAACATTTTCGATTATTTCAGAACTCGTCACAAAGATAAAATCGGCTGTAAACTTTGTTGTAGGGATGTTATCCGTGATGGGGAATCAAACAGCAATCATTCCATGACGAACCAGCACAGGGGAAGTATGTTTTATAACTTTGCAAATTGTGACTAAATTAGACTGACACAGAAATAGCACATGTCAATTGCGATATATTTTAATAATAGTGACCATGTTTTGTTATATTTAGGTTGCATGCCTATTACCCTACACGTGTCGTCGTCGTTGTTGTTGCTGTTGTTGATTTTGTTGTTGTTGTTGTTGTTGTTGATGATGTTGTTGTTATTGTTGGCTAACTTCTTTTAGTCAGGTCGATTGACACAGGGCACCTGATGTTCACTACGCCAGCGGGGATTACAAGATGGAATGCACAAGTAGTACTACTAAAATCGCCGCGAATATTTATCAACGCTATGCGTCATAGAAAAGACATACGGAGATATTCCCCCTATGTTAGCTCAATACAACATAAACAAGAATGAGGATTTGGCACATTTGTTTCGATTCTGAATTAAATTACAGACCTACAACTCTGTCTTTGTATTGTTGTCCGTGTTACAACTTGTACGACATAAAGAATGTTCGGGAACTTTATTTGTCAGACTTCTCAGCATCGTTTCACAACGGCATTATTGGGCATAGTTTGTAATGAATATCCAGACAATTTAAAGATTAGAGATCAGTGGAGACTTTGTGCATGGTGGGTGGAATGAACGATATTGAAGCAGGTGTTGTTTGTAGGCGCGTGCACACGGGTATAACTTAACAAGCAGTCGTCCATGCATAGGGTCAAAACGTCGAGGGTATCGCAGCGTCAGCAAAACCACCGTTAATTACCCACCGCCTGCTGGTGTGGAGAAAC